ATATTTTTCAAATCCATTCAAAAAACATAATTCTTTAATATCAAACAAAAATCTATTTTATTATCTATTAGTTTTAATATAAAATAAAGTTTAAAAATAAACTATTTTTAAAAAGTTTGTGTTTAAATCGACACAGGAGGAACTCCGTGGGTCAAGCAATCAGGCATATGACACCCAACTTCAAGGCATCTAACCGTTGTGAAACTATCTTAAAGTACATTCAAAATTAGTTCATTTTAATACGTTGAACCTCTATTAATATTTAAAATATGTCCCCTTTTGCCTTGTATTAATATATTATATCAAATAAATAATAAATAAAAACTTATTTAAAACATAATTAAAATTAAATAGATTTGTTTATGCAAACTATAAAAGATTAATAAAAATTTTAATAATTAAAAGATTGAAAAAAATTAATGCAAAAAACTATAAATATTAAATATATTATAAATAGTTTATGATACATATGTGAATATAGTTACCTTAATGTTATTAATGAGTTTTTTTTTTTGGGTATATATATTAAAGCATTGATTAACTTTTAAGCTGATTCTTAGGAAGGATTTTTAATATTGTGAGTATAGGGCATTTAATATTTAAGGTACTGATTGAAGGTAATATAAGTATAATTGACATAATAAAAAGTATAGGCTCAAATTATTCAAAATAATTTTTAATAAACTTTGCTAATTTAAAAGATATTAGAAATTGACTTACAGATACTATAATAAGTTCCGAAACATAAATTACTAAGACAATATCTCGTTAATATTTCGTTTTTTCTGATTCAATATGTGAAACAAAGAACCAACAATCTCTCGACATTGTGATATATTTATTCTAGATAAAATATTATTTATCTTTTTATTTCATTCGTTGAAAATGCTAATACTTTTTGAAACTTTAAAAATGTATCTAACTTAAATATCCATTTCAATATGTAGAAGGATGAAAAAATGTATTTCTTTCATAACCACTAAATGCCATTTGAAATAAAGATAACTTTTAATCATTAAAACTTCTTAAATATTCAGTTTTCAATAAAGAATATAATAGTTAATATAACTTAAATAATATAACTAAATATTTCTTAGTATTACTAAAAATAGAACAATTTCAGGAATTTAAAGGGCTGATTTCGCAGTCAATCCAGAAGACTCAGGACTGACTTTATAATGCCATAATCGTCAACTTTGCTGACTTAAATATAATAACATATATAAGTCAGTCTTACGATCTATGTGACGACTGTGAAATTAGATGTAAGTAATCTAACTATATAGTCCAGTTGAACTGCAAATTTTCTAACTGCTGTTTTTCCTTATTCTACCTTGTATTCTATTAACTGGATTAAGGATTAAGGAGCTGGATTAAGGAGCTGGATTAATGGATTAAGGAGATTAATGATTGTGGAGACCTCCGCACAGTCAAAATGAGATCTGAATCATTATCTCTGAGTCATTATGAGCGGAAACGTGCACTGTCTACCTTTCAAACTGTCATAACCCTTTCAAATACTTTTTTGTACTAGACATTTGCAAAAGACTAGTTTCTTCGTGAATGTCTGTGATATATTATTTGTTTTTGGACATTGTAACACTTAGCTTTTAAGTTGACTTAAGTATTTGTTATACAGTTCTTTTCGATTAGCAGTAATCTGTCAAACCTTTTTTTTATTAAGGCTTCGCTTTTAGCTCATTTTTAATATTCATAGCTTGGTTATTTTTAATGTGTTTGAGTAGCCTTATGTCTAATTCTTCACTAACCCTTCACTTCAGTGGAGCCACTTGTTGGACGGTGCGCTGTACCAAAATCCCACAATACATAAGCCTAATGTGTTCGAACAGAGTGGCTCGAAATTCATACACCTTAACTATTAGACCTACTTCTGCTAGAGTTATCACCAGCATATCGTTTTGTAACGCTGTTAGTTTCATTACTACATACTGTGTTTTGTGACCCGAATAAGTTATTTACTTATCCAAAGTTACTACTTTTAAAGTAATGTTATCGTAGTATTTCATACGAATTTCATAATGCAAAACATTTTTGCCACACATTTTTGTGTTACCACAAAATACAAATAATACCTATTAGATGTTAAATGTTATTAGATGAAATGTGAATGCAGTGTTGCCACAAGTTTGAAAGAAAGAGCAATCCATTATAAAATAAGTTCATTACAGTTCATTTGGGACATTTGGGATATTCTTTATTGAGAAGCTAAATGATATTACATTGTCACCATTCAAGTTTATTACTATTTAATCTAAAGTTTTAATTTAGTTACTTATCTAGAAACTAAGCCTGTTTCGCTACTTTCATAATATTGCAGTAACCTTTGCAACCGGTTTGTACAAAGAAAAAGTTCCTTATCGATATGTAATGTTATCTGTCAAGTAGAGGCGTGTATTAAAAAAAAATTAATTAAAACTTTTAAAAATTATACTAACAAAAATTAATAAAAAAAAAACACAGTTTCAAATATTTATAACATTAAAAAATTATTTATACAAAAAATTAATAAAAAATAAAATTTTAACAAAAACAATTAATATAAAATGTTCATATTTTAATTTATAATATTATTTTTAAAATTAATAATTTATATTCATTTTTAATATACACACATATAAATGCAATTTTTTAACTATCTGATAAATACCTTAGACAAATATATACGTATATACTATATCATTAAATATCTTATAAATGTATATAATTATTTTACAATATTTTTTTTTTAATTTAATATTATTTTTACGTTACGAGTTTAAAAAATAAACGATATATGTAATTAAATATTGCTTTCAGCCATCTTACAAGTTTTTTTTTTTTGTATCTTTTTTATATTAATACGTTAAACATTAGTTAAACAATTTTTACTTTTTTTCGTTATATGTGATTAACCAATTAATATAAATAATTCAATGCTTATTGCTATCTGCTTTTAATTTATATAAGTTTTTGAGAGTTTTGTATATGACTATATACCAAATATCAAGTATAATTTTGTTCGCAATGAAGATAAACAATTACGTTAATTAATTATTAATTACACATATTTTAAAGGATGTTACTTATTTATAATAAATACGGACAATCTTAGGCTTCGTAGGCGTTATAAACTAAGTAATTTCGGTTCTGCATATTTTTTGAAATTTAATTTAATATATTTTACTAAATAATTAGGCAATGCTAAAAGCTTTTTTAGTAAATTTTATTTAAATAATAATTTTTGTGGCGCATCGCTTAGTTCAATATTAATTAAATACATTGAGTAATAAACTTTTAATCAAGCCTATTAAATATAATTAAATTACAAGTAAATATGTTTGGTTTTAGAATATCTGAAGGTCTATATTATCCACATTCATGCTCTCAACTATGCTAAAAGTACAATATATATAATATATTTTTTATCTATTTAAGCAATTAATTAACAAATATTTTGCTACTTATAAATTCGTTTCAGTTCTTTGTGGTATTGTGTGTACCACGGGTTTATTTCCTGTAGTAGCACTACTCGGCGCTGTGATTGTTGTTGCTATGACTTGATTAGCGTTTAGAGCCGGCGTAGTTGTTGTTGTCACACGTACACGTTCTCCAACACCTGGACCGATTCCGGCACCGCTAAATAATTTCATATGCCTTAAGTTTTTACCTGTAGTTTGTAGTTTCTGTGTTGTCGCTAAACCGATATTTCCATTGCTGTGCAATTGACTACCTGTCGAGACAATAGTACCGGTACTATTACTATTATTTGTGCGGGAACAGTGCATAGACCATTCATTCTGTTTGAGCAAAAATTGTTTGACATTATATTCCATTTGTGCTATGTCCACATTCTGCGTGGTGGTGTGCAATTCCGCTTTAATGGCACGTGTCTTATCCGTTTCACTGGGATAATATTTATAATTTAATATATCACACGTTGGCTGCTCTGGCAGAGTTGGAGTGTTACTGTTGCAAGTACTGCCGTTATGCGTAATGAGATCAGATGTAGTATATGCAACTGGAAGACCCGATCGTGTTGTGCGTCGATAAAATGTATGCGCAGTATTAATAAGTGGTTGTTGTTGCTGTTGTTGTTGTTGTTGATATTGTAATGGCGGTGTTTGTTGCATTTTATTAATATTATTATTAATATTCGTATGATTATTAACTGGTTCAGTTTTGGGTGATAATGAATCTTCAGTTGATTTATTTGTTTCATCTTGTTGATTATCTGAATAACCATTAGTTTGTGGTTGCGGTGTAGTCTTATAACCAGAGTCCATTGATAACTTTTCCATAGAAACAGAATCTAATTGATCAATGGTAGAGAATGAGGACTGACGATCTGTACCTGAAGAATCACAATGATTCATAGCATTTATCACTTGTTGCTGCTGTTCTAATTGTTGTGTATTATTCTGTACCCATTCGGCTACACGGCTCAATTGCTGTCTACGTAATATAACACTCTCTTGAAAATCTATAACATCACTTACCGAACTGGATTGTGTGCAAGATTTTGAATTTAAGGAATTTTTTGAACTAGGTTCATTTTGCAATATTTCGAAACTTGAAGAAGTTTTATCCAATTGTTGTTGTAGTTCACTTGTCAAATCCACTAGATTTGCGAGTCCTATTTCTTGCTTAAGTTCAGCACATTTGTCAGTCGATAAGTTTGATTTTATATCTTTATACATTTCTATATCAGTTTTACCAGTCTTTTGTTCAATTTGAGAATCTACATTTGTTACTATTAAGCTAGGAGAATTGATTTCATCAAGTAAACCACCGCCTTTAGTTTCTCCATTGCAGCCAGCTACATGTATAACCTCATTATTATTGCACATGATTGCCTTACATTCACTTGTGCTGAGATCATTAGTTACACTTAGT